TTTCTATTGTGCTCTGTTGTCCCTTTTTTCAGATGAAGAAACTGAGGCAGAGTGGCTGGCTAGCCCAGAGGCATTCCGTTCAGGAGGGGAGGTCCTAGAAACTGTCAGATTCAGCTCAGTGCAGTTCAGTAAACATCAAAGTGCACTCTGGTCCTAAGAAGACATAGTCTTTGCCCTCAAGGAGCATGTGTTCTGTGGCATGGTGGACTTGGAGTCAGGAAGGCCTGGATTCGAATTCTGTCTCAGCCATCTACTACATGCATCCTTGGGCAAGTCATTTAACATTTCTTCATCCATATAATGAGAGAAATGGACCCCGTGGCCTTTAAGATCCTCGCCAGCTCTGAATTTATGCCTCTGTCTGAGGACACTGATAAGTAAACACAGGATAATTTGATGAAGGACCGGAAGAGCTAGAAGGGACCTTTAAGGCCATCTACTCCAACTCCCTCCCCACCCCACTTTTCAGATGAGAAAACTGAGGCTCATTTTTTTTTTCATTTTTTCATTTTAAAAAAAGTGATTTGCCCAAGGTCACATGGGTAGTAAGAGGCAAAGCCTCTATCTGAACCCAGCACCGTTGACTCCAATGTTCTTTCTGTGGGAAGAGAGCACTGATAACTAGGACACTCAGGAAGGATGGGTTTCCCATGGGAGATGGTGTCTGAACAAAGCCTTGAAGGGATTCAGGGAATCTAAGAGGGAGAGGTAAGGAGAAAGTGCATCCCCAGCCCCTTCAGGGACGTGGTCTGAGAAGAGTCATGAGGAAAAGACAGAATGGGGGGATGAAAACCACCTTATAATCTGTTCTGGTTTTGTATCCCAGTGGCCAAGCCCATGTAGGTCTTTGATAAATGTTTGAATGAATGTATGAGAAAAGCATGTATTGAGCACCTGCTGTGTGCCAGATACTGTGCTGAGTGCTGGGGAAACAGATTTAAACAGAAAACATCCCTCAGAGAGCTCATATTGTACTAGAGGCTGACAACGCCTTTGCTGGAGAGGTGATGGGGAGCCCTTGTTCTGGGGGGGCCAGCTGGACTAGGCATGATGCTGATGTCTCTGGGCCCAGCTGTGAGATACAGCAGGCTAAGAGGGCCAGTTTGCACACGTTCAGTCCTCGATCAGCTAGATAGGACTGTAGGACAGCAGCAGCAAAGGTGAATGGATTGATTTGTTCCCCCTAGGACTGGGGCATGGATTTAATAATAATAATAATGATTATAATAGTCGTAGTAATGGTAATAATAATAGCAGTGATGGTGATGATAGCTAGTCTTTCTAGAGCTCCTACCAGGTGCCACACACTGTGCTAAGAGGTTTACAGGTATTCTCTCAAGGGGCTGTTATTATCCTTCTTTTACAGATGAGGACACTAAGGCAAAGAGAGGGGAAGTGACTCACCCAAGGTCACATAGCTAATAAGTAAGTGTCTGGTGCCACATTTCAATTCAAGTCTTCCTGGCTCTAGGCCCGGTGCTCTCGGGTGCCTGTGCCACCAGGATGGCCTGGTGTGTAAGACTGGATTGTTGGAACAACAGGGTGAAAACCGTAACAGTGCCTGCCCTCTGGGAGCTTCTGTTCTGGTAGGGGTTTGGGAGCAAGGGGATGGCCATAGCCTTTAGGGAAATACAATATAAGTTAAGGAAGGAGACAGTCCTAACAGCTAGGGGGAATCCCATGTTTCTAGTTGCTTTGGAATCATATCCGAGGGTCCCCTGACCCTTAGGTGGGAAGCTCTTCCCTCAGATGGCATTTCCATTCTCCCAGGTGCTCTGTACTTCAGCCTTTTACCTCTAGACCTGATCTTGGGAGGAAGGAGAAAAAGAGTGACTCACCAGGCTCCTGAATCCTGTCCCTAGAAGGGAACCAAGAGCCTGGAAAAGAACATGGAGGTCGTCTCAGCCAAGCCCCTCACTTGGCAGATAAGCAGACTGAGGCCCAGAGAAGGGAAGGGGTTTGTCTGCAGTGATATAGCTCATCTTGGGGGAAGCAAGGGCTGGAGACTCCTGTCTCTTGTTTCTAAACCCCCTAGTGCTTCCCCCCAACCTGCCCATCATTGGCCATCGCCAGACCCGCTGACCTTCTTCAGGGGAAATAATCCAGTTCCTTGAGACTTCCTTCAGCATAGCTCTTTCCAACCTCATAATTATTTTCATTGCTGTCCTCTGGACCCTCACCTACTTACCATGCATAGCATACCAGCTGCCTGCTATGCACTGGATCAAATGTGGAATTAACCAACAGGCACCCCCCTTTATGCAGACAGGCAAAGACGCGCAAGCTGGGGCCAGCCTACCAGACGTCCGCCCGGGCTGGAAGGAAATCTGCATATGGGAAGTGGAGATTTTCACTAAAAATGAGAACTGCAAGTTACTGCATGGGAGGCCAAGTCCACAAATACTGAGATAACTTGTGCACCAACATCATACTTTTGATGTGAGCCCGAAAGCACGAGCGTCAGGAGGACCTGAGTACAAATCCTGCCTCAGACACTTACTAGTTGTGTGACCCTGCGCAAGTCACCTCACCTCTGTTTCTTCATCTATAAAATGGGGATAATAATAGCCCCGATTGAAATACTGTGTTTAGTACTTCACAAACCATAAAGCTCTATGTAAAAGCTAGTGGGTTGTGATATGATGACATGAGCCATAATGAGGAAGAAGAGGTCAAGAGGATTTAGCACACCAGGTTTGGGGGTTGTTTTGTTTTGTTTTTAGCAGCTTTGGTATCCATTTTGGCAACACAGTCAAATCCCTACAGTTGGCAACTCTTTCCAGCCTCCACGGCAGTGGGCTCAGTCCTGGGCAGTCTCTCGAGGGAAGGACGCCCAAGGCCACGCTTCTTCCTGCCTATGCAAGCTTGGTGAAGTCCCCTCTTCTCCCGAGCCTCAGTTTCATCCCCTGTCAAAGGAGGGAAGGTTAGATCGGGTGCTCTAGAGGTTCCCCCCAGCTCCAAGTCTGTGATTAGAAGAGCCCTCCCTCAATAATCACCACAATGGAGGAGCCATCTCCAGATCATTGAGAGTGACCTTCGTTGAATATGTAAATGCTCTGAGTTCTTAAAGCAAAAGGTGCTGAATTAATTGGAGCCCATCCTCACGACACACTTCTATCTTTAGGTACCCGTGGTGGTGACATTGTTAATTATCACAAGGGCAAAGGAAAATCATTTGAGGTGGGGGGGGGCTTTTATTTGCTTGAACCCACTTATGGAGGCTCTTTGAGAGCCATAGGGCTCCCCTGCCACCCACCCCCTGTACAAATGCAACACCAGACCGGAGGGGGGGGGCTGGCAGCAGGGAGAGGGAGGCAGGCCCTCTGTCTGTTGTGGGCAGAGTTGGCCATTAGGTGGCAGAATAAAGCCAGTATTGGAAGACTTGGGAGCTTGCAGCCGCTTGACCTCCTGTTTAGATTCCCACCCCATCCAATACTGCCGTCCCTGGCAGGCCCTTTCACACCATCCCGACCCTCCATCTTCCCCCAAGCACATTGCCGGCTCCCCACTGGCACCCCAGATAAAGCCACAGCTGGGACAGCCCGGCAGGCTGCATCCCCAACCCTCACTCTCCCTCCTGGGGATGCTTCTGTGATTTTGCTGTTGCTTCCAAAGAAGAAGAGAGAAGGGCTTGGAGGAGTGGGGGGGATGGAAAGGAGGGAGATGGGGAAAGCTCAGAGGAGACGTGCAGATTCATTTTGAGGATTCATAATGCTACATTTACACACCATACTGCCTTAGGAAATTGGGTAGATAGATGCCTGGTCATGCTGGCAGTACACTGGGTTAACTCTCTGGATTTAGCTTATATCATTTCATGAGAGCATTTATGGCCTTTACTGTGTTTATTCCCAATCGCTCTTTGGCCCTGCAGCATCTCAGATGTACGTGTGTGTGTGTGTGTGTGTGTGTGTGTGTGTGTGTGTGTGTGTCCCCATACACATGAACAAGCATCTCAGACTTGTGTGTGTACACACATCTGTGTTTGTGTATGTGTGGGTGTGTGAGTGTGTGTAACTGCATACACACAGACGAGTGTGTGTAGATTTTCAAATAAAATAACAAATCTCTTCAAATGCCATGGGCATTAAATATTTATTGCCAGCAATTTGTGTGTGTGTGTGTGTGTGTGTGTGTGTGTGTGTGTGTATGTGTGTGTGATAAATGGACATCAAAGGGGAGTGGGTAGGGAGGACAGAGAAGGAAGAGAAGAGGAGGGTCTTGGTCACCAAGAAATAATGGGCCTTTTGTCCTGGAATTTTTGGAGATGGGGAAGGGAAGGGTCACTGGCCGTGTTTCCCTGTTTGATTCTGTTCAGTTCCAGCCAAGCCCCTTTGCTCTCTGGAGTTTGGCTTCAGGGCCCCACCAGGAAAACACTGGGTGGGAAGGGTGACTGGGGTTCGACAGGTGGGCCATTTGTCAAGGAACTGCCTCCGCGTCCCAAGCTCTGAACACACTCCCACCCCTTTACCTTTCCAAGGGAAACAAAGCCTCATCCCTTCTCACTAAATAAGGGCCATACAGGCCATGCCCATAGAAGCTGATTTAAATACTAGCTCCCAGAACCCCTGGCAGAATTGCCTCAGACCTAGACCTGGTGTGCAAATGAGAGGCCTCCAGCCCAGCTGTGAGGATGCCTTCTGAGCTGGAGTGCGCTCAGAGAGCCGGGTGCGCTAATGTGTGTTTACCACCATGGGGGACGGAAAGGCTAGGTTGGCAGGAGAGTCAGCTTCCTGCTTGTCACATGAACTGACAAGACTCCCTCAGCATTATCCACTGCTTGTCCTCCAGGACCCGGGCAGTGAGCAAGGGATAAGGGGCTGTTTACCCTCACAGCATGGGCCCATGGAGAAGCCACACGTGTGGTGTGGCTTCAGGTAATGTGGAGGGGATTAGCTCAGGAGAACCAAGGTCCTGCCCTCTCTTCCTCTTTTCCTCCTTCCCTTTCCCTTCTGAGTTCTTTGGTCCTTAAACTCCTGGGTAATGTCTTTTGTTCCTAGCACCTTCGGGGAGCTGAAAACAGTTCGTTTGCCAAAGAAGATGACAGGGACGGGCCCCCACCGTGGGTTTGGCTTCGTGGATTTCTTAACCAAACAAGATGCCAAGGTGAGATCATGGTGCCATGCCTCTCTTCCCCATCCCTCCATTTTTCATTTAAGCTCCAAGGTATGCTGTTCACATGGGCCCTTTGAAAAGAAAGCATGGCCTCTCAGTAGACAAGGTGGGGTCCCAACCACATGTTGGCTTTTCATGTTTTCTAACATGACAGGGTTAATTTCCACAAAAGCCAGAGATGGGAAGGCAGTTTCCTATTTTACATGTGAGGACCGAAATAGAGATATCCTGGCATGAGTGGCTTTTCCAGGCCCACCCAAGTCATTGGTGGAGATGGTATTGGAAATCAAGACTTCTGCCAGTCTGTTTGGCAACATTCTGCAATGTAGTTAGCTTGGCACATCTGATATTGTCTCCGCTTCCTAGGATTGCTGAGGTCTTCCTTGCTCTGTAGAAAAATCTGGAGGTTCCCTCCTGCCTAAGGCAGCATATTCCACTATAGAACAGTCCTGGGGGGCCTTCCTACTCTGGATAGCTGATCCTCATCGTTAGGATGTTTCTGTCAACACCAATCCAAAATCTGCTTCCTGGCAACATCAGCTGCATTGCTCCCACTACTTTCCTCTGGGAATGAGCGGGGTCAAGCCAAATCGAAGTTGGGAAGGAATAAGGCCAGCGCTTTAGGAGAGGCCATTTCTGACCTTCCATCCTTTCCCTTGCTGACATCTGTGAATCCCGCAATGCCAGTGCATCGAGCAAAACTGGCCTCCAGGAGGCCAAGCTAGTGCTTTGAGCCCAGAAGGACTGTGCATGTGCATATGCCCACACACACCCATTGCAAGTGTCTGTGCACATGTGCCTTTGAGAAGATCGACTCTCAGGCACCTCTGGAGAGCCAGAGCTGCTGCCCCTTTTCTGCCTTAGAGTGAGCCAATCTGCTTGAATTCCTGTTTGGCTTCATCAGCCGCCGCTTCTTCCTTGCCGTGGGTAGCAGATGAACATCTGTCTCAGCATCGGCTTTTGGGGGTGAACAGCTGTCTGAGCTGCTGCATAGATTTCCATTGGTCGGAAAAGGAGCCAAGTGCTTACTGACCATTCCCCACCAGCACATCATGCTCCGGCCCACAAGGAACGAGGGGGCAGTGTGATGTCGGGAGGCCCGGGTTCTCATCCCAAATCTGGCAGGATCACCTTGGGCGAGCTCCTTCACCTCTCTGGGCATCCTCCACCATAAAAGGCTTGGAGTCAATGATCACCAAGTCCCCTCCAAGGTCCGCCATTCCGCACTGCAAAGGTCCTTCCTAGCCATGACATTTTATGTTTCAAGGTCTCTTCCTGCTATGACATTCTTTGTGCCAAGGTCCCTGCTTTATTCTCCTAGTCTGTTCTTCAAGGTCCCATTCTAGCCCTGACATTCTGTGATTCTGAAAAAGACATTCTCTTTTCTCTCAGAGAGGTGACTCAGCGCCCCTCTTGCCAGAGGGGCTCCCGAGAGCCGGCCCCTCCTCACCGGCCCAGCTGTAGGAAGCAGGAGGAAGTAGCTCTGGGACCCATCTGCCGCCTTTGTAGGCTGGCCGTGAGACCTGGCAGGGACGTCAGCATGGAGTCCTCAGCAAGCCTTTCCAATAGCCTTTGTCCTCCTCAGTTGCGTCTCAGCAACTAGAACTCAAGTGCTTGTTTTGTTGACATTTTTCCAGTGTTCATCCAGACATCTGCTTCTGCTCCGTCTTGTCATGAGACCTTCCCTTGGCCCCCACTGAAAGCAGTGAGCATCAGGGAGGTCTTTGTACAGGATGACCACTCCACTTGTCAACTGTGGCCGGTGAGGCCTGAGGCAGGGTCACTTTTTTGTTTAATTTGCTCTGCTCTAGAAATTGTTCAAACACCCCCTCAGCCACTCTTTAATTCTACAATAATATTAGGTAGTTTTTCCATTTTTATTTCCCCATTACCTTGTGCACAGTAGGTGTACCTACAACAAATGTGGGTTGAATCAGGTCACAGAATGACAGAGTTGGCAGAGACGTCAGTGACCATCAAGTGTGCTTTGGAACCCTTTGTGGACTTCCATTCTTTGTTTGAAGAAGCAGCTCCCGCCTCCCCTATCCACCAGCCTTCAAATACTGCTTTAACATCTCCACTCAGTCTTCTTCTCTGGGCTGAACATTCTCCCCAAGCTCATTGAGAAGATTCTCATATGGTGTGGACTCTAGCTGGCCTCCATGCCTTCTTCTGGACACTGCTGGACAGCCTCTCAATTCAACAAATGCTTATTAAGCTGCATATGGGAGGCACAGGGCTAAGGGTTAGGAATGCCCAGACATGGCAAAAACAGGTCCCTGCCCCCACGGATCTTACACTCTGCCCAAGGGATGTGTCACACATCCAGAGAAATAAATTTGAGGAGGGAGAGCAGAATAAATTGAGGAAAGATCTCAAAAGGCCTCCTCCAGGAGAGGGCATGAGAGCTGAGCCTTGAAAGAAACCCGGGGAGCTAGGAGGTGGAAGATGAAATGCTGAGTTTGGAGGCAGGTCAACAGGGAGACGCTATTTGGCCGAAATGTAGAGTGTGTAGATGCAGAGTCACATGAAATGAAGCTGGAAACAAGCTAGAGCCAAAACATGAAGGGCCCAAGATGGGGCCAAGCTAAGGAGCTGGTATTTCCTCGTAGAGGCGGCAAGGGACAGAGGGATGAGATGGTCCAGTCTGGGCCTTGGGAAAGTGATTTTTGTATCTGTGCAGAAGAAGAATTGGAGAAGGAAAAGACTGGATCCTTGGAGAGTACAGTTAGGATGCTGTTGAAATTGTCCAGGGAGAGAGAGTCCTTCCTAAAAACGAGCTGCCCAGAATGATTATAGAATTACTGCGCGCTTGGGACGGAGCAGGGTTGGGCTGCTGCCCTCTTTATTCTTGAATCATCAGCTGCCCACCCTTGCTTGGGAGAAGGGCCAGGGAAGATTCATCCATATAACTAACCGTACTCACTACCGCGTAGGTAAGTCTTTGGGGGAACTGCTCATTTTTCAAGTGGGAAGGCTGGATGAAACTAGCCCCAAAGACACCTCAGACCGTTTTTAAGGGGGAAGGACTTGTTGACTTCTCAGGTTAGTGTCTCTAGCTTCCCATTTTTCCAAAGCTTAAGTAAGTATCTGAATTGAAATGTCACTTCTGATCTTTGCAGGGGAAGTGGGGTCTCAATCTGAAAAGTCAGGGGAGCCTTTCCTAGCTTGCATTAAGGGATCTCGGGGAATTTCCATAGTGTTCGGGTCCTTTATTCTCATTCAGAGGTGATCCTACGAACATTATTTCCCAAGCCCAGCATTCTGCCATCACAAAGATTTTCTCTGTATTGGTTTTCTGGGGGAGGCCACCCACCTGGCCCCATCCACTCCTCCCCACCTGTTTTTCTGGGTGCCACAGGGAACAAAAGCAGTTGAAGAGGGGATTGCAGCACTGTCTGTAGCCCCTGGGGGAGAGGGTCATCACACGCCCTCTCTCAGCGTTCGATAGACATGGTACCTCCTTACACACCATTACGGCAACATCTCTTCACTCTAGGGCCAGATCTGATTGCATTGGGATTGGGTCCCTTTACATACAGCATGCCTGAACAAGCTGGTCTTCCATAGAGTGAGGACCCACGGTGAGTGCCTCACTCCTGGAAAGATTCGTTTGCTCTTTTTCCTCCTCTGGAAGCCTCTGTTGCTTTTTCTCTCTCCTTCTCCGAGTCTGTCTGAAGAACTTGATTGTCTTCTGAGTGGAACATTTACCGCTCTCCGATGACCCATAGAAAAGCGCACACTGCATATTGGTGAATAGAACTCTGAATATTGTAAATATCTAGTTAGCTCTAGGGCGGGAGTGAATTTGAAGAGGAAGCATTAGACTGCGGAGACATTGGGCTAGAAAGCAACAAAGCTTTTTTTTTCTATCAGCAGAAGGAATTCCAGAGACACCCCCTTTCTGCCAGTGAAATCCAGAAATCATCACATCCTCTAGGCAGTTTCCCTAAGCTGTTCTGGAAAGCGATTCCCTATCTTGTTCTGCTTTCACGGATCGTGTTTGGGGTCACGGACTTGGCCCAAACCAGGACCATGGGAAACTCTCCTTTGTACCCGGTTTGCATCCCTCATCTAAGTTATCCTCCAGTGGCCTGCCTTTCTGTCCTCTTCCGAGGGAGTCTCTTGTTTTCTGTCTTCTGCATCAGTCAGTCAGCAGGCATTTACTGAGTAAGCCTACTGTGCTCCAGCCACGACATCAGAGGTTGGCAAATGCAGTGGCTCTGAGTCTCCCAGCAGAGCCATATGATGGGTGAGAAGGTTACTAGAAATGGGGTACATGAGAAGAGGGAAGAATGTCCCTTGATGTCGTGTGGGCCAACCACCTCACTTTAAAGATAGGGAAATGGAAGCCCAGAGATCACGCAGGTTAAATACGTCACCAGGCCAGAATTCAAACCCAGATCCTTTGTCCAACTCCAGACGCAGAGCTCTTTCCACCAGACTGTGATGCCCTAGGATGAGATCTGAAAAGAACCTTAGTGATTGCCTGGCCAGCCTCCCTCATTTTACACTCAAGGAATCTGAAGGCTAGAGGAGAGACAAGAGTCACATGGAGCCGGGAGGTCCTGACTCCTGGCCTGGCACATCTCCTACCCCGTTGCCTGCGCCTCCCTCCCTTCTTGCTGGAGAGCTGAAGAGGCAGCCCTGGTGTCCGAGGATGACCACTCTCATCAGGGTGGCGCTCCGAGGCCTTGCCAAGTGATTGTGTGGAAAGGTGTGTGTGTCTGTGCATCTGAATCTGGCGGTCAGTCTGCACATACATCACGTCATCCAACCCGAACCATCACCTTGAGTTCTGTGGGTGTTATTGGCCCCATTTTACAAATGAGGAAACCGAGACTCGAGTGAAGTGGTTGGCCCACTGTGTCTGAAGTCGCCCTTGACTCCAGGTCCAGCATTATTTCCAGTACCCCAGGAAGCCCCTCATATTATTCCCATGGACGTGATGCAGCGGCTCCACAGACTACCTGGTGTTGCTCTAAGTCCCA